TGAACTGAATATATTAAGAGAATAATATGCGTAGTCTGTCATCCTCCAATGCAGTTATACTCTCTTAATAGGCACAAGACAAAGAGGCACCATCTTCCTAAAAGCAAGCTGCCCAGTTTCTTCCATATCGATGTCCTCCTCCTTCATCCCTTCAGGTAGTTGCCAATCAAAGCAATGTAACAGGTTGGCCAGGGCAAGCTCCACATTAGCGACGCCCATGGCGATGGCAGGGCATGACCTTCGTCCTGAACCGAACGGGAGAAGCTCAAAGTTGGAGCCTCTAAAGTCAACCTGGCTTCCCTCGAACCTCTCGGGATTGAACTCCTCCGGGCGATCCCAGATGCTAGGATCTCTTCCCATTGCCCAAACATTCACGAAAATCCTTGTGCCCGGCAGCACGTCGTAGCCGCCGATGACGCAGCTCGTCATGGTCTCCCTTGGAATCAACAGCGTCCCCGGTGGGTGTATCCTGAAGTTCTCTTTCACCACCATCTTGAGGTAGCTGAGGTTCTTGACATCTTCTTCGTCCACTCTTGGTTTGTTCCCCACCAAACCGCGCACCTCGGCTTGCGCTTTCCGCATGACCCTAGGGTTCCTCATCAGCTCGGCCATGATCCAGATCATCGTGACAGCACTGGTGTCGATGCCACCTGAAAATGTGTCCTGAGGTTTACACGAAACTATGTGTAGTCAATGTTTCTGTAATAGTACTATATATACTACTGCATAACATGCATAATGATCATTAAATGATAATGATAGTATAATGAAAGTACCATGAGGATTCCCTTGATATGATCACGCGTTAATCCATTTTTTGCCTCACAATCTGCCTGCTCCTCCCTCCACATCTTGACGAGCGCGTCGACCATGTCCTCCTGCACGCCGGCCTGCAGCCTCTCGGGCTCGAGGTGCTTATCGATGACGGAGTCGAAGAAACGATCGATCTGGAGGAAGATGCGCCGCCTCCGGGGGGCGGCTCCGGTGAGGACGTCGGCGAGCCGGGCGAGCCTGGACGCCGGGAAGAAGTCCTCGAACGTGAAGCTCCCCAGCACCCGCAGCGTCTCGTCCATCACGCGCTGGAAGCTGCTCCTCTCGAACTGCGCCGACCCGTACATCTTGCCGAACGCCACCGTGCCGACGACGCCGTCGGAGAGCGCGTACAGCTTCTCGCTGAGGTCGACGGCGGCGCCCGCAGGGGAGGAGCTGGCGAGGGAGGCGACGAGGCGGTCCACCTCGGCGGCCCGGGCGTAGGCGAAGGACTGGACGCGCCGCATGCTGAGGAGCTCCAGGATGAAGAGCTTCCGCATCTCGCGCCAGTAGTCGCTGTAGGGGCTGAAGGCCACGTCCAGGAAGTCGTAGCTCAGCATCCTGGGACCTGATGAACATCGGACAATATGCAGCCAGTGATGATGATTTGGATTATACGTTACTCGTAATGGAGTTAGTACATATATAGTCTAAATTAGAGCATGCTTGATCCACTAGCACTAAAAATTAATTAACTAATAGCTAATAGCTGTTAATTTTTATCTATCTCACCTTTAGCCGGAGACTATTTGGATCCACTGCTAATAGATGGTTGGAGTGTGAGTTGAAGGTGTATATAAACTATTAGCATCTATTAACGACTCCAAACTTGCTAATGAAATAATAGTTAGCAACGACTAATAATTAGCATGTTTATTAATAGATCCGTTTGGATCCACTAGTACTAATTTTAGCTGCTAATTTTTAGTGCTAATTCTAATAGGCCCTTACTCTGTCCATGTCAGAACGAATGCAATCCTAATACAATGTCATATTTTAGTATCTTATAAGTTTGATCAACTATAGATAAAAAAATATTGTATCAATATTTATGATTGCAAATAATAACATTAGATTAATTACGAAATGTATTTTTATAATAAATTAATTTGAAGCCACAAACATATACTATTTCATTACAAACTTGATCAAATATGAACTAGTCAGCTCCGATGGCTCTCCTACCGCCTTCACGTCCCCAGCGGGCTCTAGTGGCTCCCCGCTGCTGGATCTATCGCTGTCCACCATGGCTTAGGTTTAAAAATGAATCAGATGTTACTCGTCCCCGATGTCTTTTTCATCTTCTGTTAAGCTCCCCACACTTGGCTCATCCAACTGCCTTTTCCCCACTCACCACCGGTTATTAAAAGTACGAGATGGGTAATCCGATTATTAAAAATTATAATATGATTATCCCATTCTATCTAAATCTCGAATGGGTCTGTTTGATACACGTGGCTAGTTATTAGCTAGAGCTAAAATTTAGCTCAAATTAGTTATGGTTGGTAAGCTAGTGATCTAACAAATAGTTAAAGACTTGACACACCTATATATTAGCTCTAATATTTGGATACATTAGAGCTAATTTTAGCTAATTTTTAGGTAGCAAGATTTTATGGCTTCGTTCGCTTCGCTGAAAAAACAAGCCGAAACACTATTCCGGCATATTTGTTGTGAGAGAAAAATATTGTTCTGACTAAAAAATAAGCTGAAAAATATGGATTATAAGACAAGCACCTATATCAAATAGGTACACTAGTTTCTCTATCGAGTACACTCCAAACATGTACAATAGTTTCTCTATTGAGTATACTCTTTTTTTCCATTGCGTGGTCCCACGATCTCCCACACATGTATTTTGCTTTGCCAAAAACAGCGTGGCCGCAGACATGTGCATGTGCCCTCCAGGAACCAATATTGGACTCTTCCCATGCATGCATGTCTACGTGCATAATGGCCCCCTGGTGGTGGCCAATTTTGCTAAAAAAAATTGAATGAGGGGCGGTCCTCTTGGTGTACACCCTGTTCGTTTGGGCTTGTTTGACTGATAAATCATGACTGAAAGTATTGTTGGCTGATTTAGGGTGAGAGAAAAATACTATTTATTGGCTGAAAAAGTACGGATTATAAACCAAACAAGCCCAAGCGATCAGGGCGTAATCATGACCATCTAGTGTGAATCTATGACACATGTCCATTCAACTTATGAAACTGTTGCTTAAATTTAGGAGTAATTAATTAGAAAAAAAACTATATTTCTCTCATGTGTTGATACATGCAAATGGACATCTGTCGCAAATCTACTGTGGGTGTTCATTGTTGCTCCTCACCCAATTTCAGCCTGTTCGGGAGGCCGTATCGTATCGTGGATTATTTACTGCTGGCTGGTTTGGTGTGAGAGAAAAACACTGTTCCCGGCTGGAAATTTACGATCGTTTACGAGCAAGCGAACAGGCTGTTTACTTTTTCAATTTTCATGCGGAACCAAATCATAACCAATTCTTTTTTTTTTCGAGAACACGACTTCACGCGTATTTCATTAAAAAAAAAGGGCCAAAAGAACAGCTTATACAGTGAAGCTATGGGTGAGCCTACAGTGCAGAGGAACTGAAATCCTAACCTATTCCACCTAGGCTAGTGATAAGTGGTTCTGAGCTCGTACTTGCCTGGTGAGTTGGGGCGACTGCAGCAGTGCAGGTCGTTGGTCCGGAGGACCTCCTTGGCGGCGTCCGGCGACGAGACGACGACTGTGCGCACGCGGCCGAGCTGCACCTCCGCGACGGGGCCGTACCTCCGCGCCACCGCCTGGAAGTAGCGGTGCGGCCGGCTGCCGATCTGGAGCAGGTTGCCCAGCACCGGCAGCTGCTTCGGCGGACCCGGGGGAGCACGCCGTCGTTCTGCTGCTGCTCCTGGCTCTCTGCTCCTCCTCCGCCGCCGGGACGACAGCAGGTAGAGGAGAGGGAGAAAGAGGAGTGGGACTACCAGCAGCAGCTCATGGGAGCGAGACTGCGAGTCCATGGCGCTCTTAGTTTCCTTGCTGGACTCGACTGGTGTGCGCCTGCGACTGCGAGGCCTCGCCGTGCCGGCTATGGCTTATATACAGCGGTAGGTATATCACTGAATGGCGGCTGCTACCTGAAACCGTACCTGAGCCAATTGCTCCGTTTGTAATTGTACGCAAACCCACAGAGCACAGTGCACAGACGTACACCGTGACGCACCTGGCATGGACAGAAGATGGGGATGACGATCGTCTGAACTTCTCAAGAACCGGAGAATAGCCAGTCTGAAGAAAACTGGATCCTTCCTGCTGGATTTCAGTAAAAAAAAAAAGATGGGCAGGAAAATGATGCACGGAAACGCCAATGGTGCTCGAGTCTATCGATCGACACAGGGAAAATTCATACCCTAATATTAAGCCCGGGCGTTTCCTGGTGCAGCAAACGAAGAAAAAGATAGATGCAGTGTAACCATGTGGTTCCTCCGGTCTTCCGCTCTCCCGTAGAGCACCTGATAAGATTTTGTTTTTCCTTTACTTTACTCACTAGTCACTACGTACTAGGACCTGCTGGAGTGCTTTCCTAGCATGGGCACAGATTGGCCAAATCAATCAATGGATAAACAAACAAACAGGGTCCCATGAGAGTGAGACCTAAGGACTTCATGTAAAAATAACAATATATTACTCTCTCCGCTTCAATTATAAAATCGTTTCATCTTTTCTTGATATATATTCTTTTCATTCTCAATTAACTGTCATCGGAGAACTAGACTTTAGGAATCATTATAAATGACAAAAGACCTGAACACGCCTACATATAGCAATGATTTACCTTTTGGACTTTTGGATGGATATGTCATTAATGTTGCCTTTTGCTGTGAAAACGCGCGCGTGCCACACACAACACAGATTTTCTACATTAAACAAATCATTACTCACATCCACTTTGTCACAGTTGCCCATGCAGTATAGTGTTTTTGCCTTAAACAAATCAAAGAGGCCACTAATACATGCATTTTACTCAGTGGCAAACACTACTTAGCGCCAAAACAAAGCCTGGCGCCATTTTTACACAGACTAAGCAAACTATAATTTGAAACTAGCGCCATTTCTCTAGCACCACTGGCAATAAAGCTCGGTAACCCTTTCTTTGCATTCATTTGAACCATTCACTTCTCATCCAACTCCCATGGCAATAGACTTAAACACACTACCAGAGGAGAGAGGAGAGGAGGTGCCAGATCTCAACAAGAATCCTGCTGAACATGAACGCCACGAAGAGGATCGTGATCCCTTGGAAGATGTAGTGGCTGCAGTTCAAGTTGGGGAAGCTGACCACTTTGGTGTCTATCCTGCTAAGAATGATGAACAAGTCGACGGAGGGTGGCACAAGAGGATCTCGGCGGAGGGGAGTCGACGGAGGGTGGGCGCGACGCGAGGTTGCGGATGGGGCCAAAGGAACAGCCGGCGAGGTTGGGGATGAGGCTGGGATTTTTTATTTTTTAGAAAAAGTTGGGTGCGTGTGGTGGTGTGAGGCCGTGAGGGGAGAGGAAGGGATAAGGCAGGCGCATGGTGCAGTAGCGGTATAGCTACGGGCTGATAGCGAACGATAGTTATTACGGGACATGTACTGTAGCCCCGACGACAGATATTTAGGGATGATAGTTATCACTATCTGGTATGTATTAGAAAAGATAAAACAAGTTATAATTTAGAAATAATAGACAGGGTACTAGGCTTATAATTTGGAACACAGAGAGTACTACGTAGTAGCTGATTACTTACCATCACCTTTTTCAAAGTAAAAAGATTAGCATATGTCTTTCAAAAGTATTTCCAAATTTTAGTACTAGTACGAAAGTTAGGATGTACAATTATTTGGAGCTATAACTTGAAAGGATTTTAATCAGGGTTCACAAATGATTATGGACATTATTGGAGCTATAATTTGAATGTTAGGATATTGGATTTTTGTTGGATCAAATGATTATGGACATCCAAAATCAAAATACTCTCATCTAAGTGCATCCAACACAACCAGAGTCCAATTGGATTTTGGATTACCCAAATTCATTGCCACCTCTTAACTATAGATAGATTAAGTTGTTTGGTTGGTTTATGCTATAGCGCTATGTACATGCATGTGTCATGTCTTGGCGCAAAATATCGTAGGTGCGGCTACAAAGACCACGGGGCAACCGTCATGGCACATCGTGGCTAGAAGCCACGCCCACAATGCATAAAATAGTTGATGGCTATAAATCTAAACAAATATATGTCTAGATTCATAGCTAAAGTGTCTGAAACATCGACAAGAAAAAGAATAAAAGAACATGTGTGCGACTACGAGTTGAGGTTGGGAAACTGCAAATTACCAGTAATCTGTGTGAACAAACACTACTGAAAGCAGAAAATATGCCGAGTGTTTATTGATTTGCCGAGTGCAATTCATTGGGCACTCGGCAAAGACCTAATTTGCCGAGTGTAGAATATAAGACACTCGGCAAACTACAATCGACACTCGGCAATAAATTAACACTCGCAAAATCCTATCACGTGATCGGAAGGTGCGGCGGCAGTCCGTCGACGGCGTGATGATTCGTTAGCAAAAGTGCAACTTTGCCGAGTGTTTTTCATCAGCACTTTCGGCAAAATGATAAGTTTGCGAGTGTTTTTGAAATGCACTAACTTCCCAATGTTGTCCAACATGACAACAACTCCTATATGGACCTGAGTTAGCATTTACAAATATTTTTCAAAGGATTTTCACTTGCATCTCACCACATCACTAGGTCTGATGCATATGCAAAAGTTTAGTTCACTAGTTGTCTCAATTACCAAAACCAAACTAGGAGCTTTTACCATCATCACCCTCCTGTCATACCAACATCTCCTAACTCTCCCTCTCTCCCTCTCTTCAGTGGAATGTGCGTTGGGACCCTAAGCTATAGTAGACTAAGTGGTGCTGACATATGCGGTGGTAGTCAAGTGGTAGATGTGTGTGGTTGAATTCTTAGCGTTTGGCATTGGCCCAAGTTATGCAGCACAATATCCCCAAGGGTTCAACAAGAACCAACTATTGGTGTTCACTAACATGCTTGTGGCCCCAGATTCTCTCTTTCACATGAATGATTCAATGTCGTTAATTATATGCCATAACATTGACGTTTGTTTTCTATTTTAATTTTTGGCCTATGTTGTATATTTGTAGAGAAACGACCCTCAAAGTTGAGTGATTTGCAAATCCCATTTATGTATATAGGCCAAATCCCGGGAAATATGAAGCATAGAAGACCACATATGGGACTAAGTCCATCGACATTGGATGCCAAAGCAATCCTTCTATGGTGTCCACATTTAATGAACCTTGAGCTAGGATTACTTAAGCATAAAAAATACAAAGATTTGGGAAGTTTACCACAAAATCAAGTCGAGAATGGAAAATAGAGTGAATCTTATCTGTTGACTCATTCTGGGATATGTAAAAGGGCCACATGCAAGTGATCTAGAAAGAGGACAAAGGAAGGGAACGAGGATGCACTCGCTGCCGTGGAGAGGTTGTTGGTGAGGAGTCCAACCTTGAAGGTTGCCAGGGAGGATGACAACGATAGGTATGGAGTCACCATGGAGGAGGAGGAGGTCATCACTAGCAATGAGGACATCACCATGAAGCCATGAAGAAGAAGGAGGCCCGCATGGAGAAGGAGGTCACGGAGAGGGGAGCAAGTCATTAGGATGAAGTCATCGAAGAAGAGGATTTCGTAGTAGTTTAAGTCACCATAACAAGGAGGCTAGTGTAGAGGAGGTCGCTGACAAGGATCACATCATCGTGAAGAAATTGTTGTAGGCCACTTGGGAGAAGTTTGGCATGCATGGAGGATGAGGGCTTCATTGAGGACGAAGTCACCGGAGAGGATGAAGGGTGCGAAGGAGATATGCCAATCAAACTCATAATTTGGCTAAGCCTGCTCTCCATCTCTTAACATTAGGAGTTATGAGTAAGCCTACTCTCAGGCTTAGTCATAAGTCCTAATGTTTGATAATTAATCTTGCTAGGACATAGCGCAAGATTTTCTACTTCAATTCTGCACCCCAAACAATAATCTACCGAAGATAATAATCATCTTAAGAGTTTCAGCTCATACTGTCCACATAGTCACATACTCAGTTAAGTCAAAAAAGCGTCCCATCGGGCTACCAATCAGCAGACTGTAGGTATAGATGGGTCACTCAATCATGTTGATAGACTGATAGGAGTTGCCGCTGTCAGCCTGTCATCAACAGAGTGCGTGACACACACGCCATAAATGTGCAACTAAACAATACGAACAATGAGATAATATGTCAAGACTCAAGTGCACCAAATTAAATAATGTATGGCATGCATTCATGATATAAGAAGTCCAAACAAAAAAAATTACAAAAAGATCCTAAAAATAATGGACAAGCCTTGAGACATCCAGATCACGACAGCCCAACCACCCGGCAAGCTTTTGATCATTTCCTCACCTCCGCCTGATGGGCAGGGACTTCTCTACATCTGTACAGCTCTCTCATATACATACTCCTTCCAGAGTTCCATCCATCTTCTCAAAGGCACAACAAAGATGGCCCTCGATGACCTCATTCTTGCACTCAAGAATGTCCCCGTTTTGGTCAGCTCTACTCATAGCTCCACTGATCTGGTACCTTCTTGTTCATGGCGAGAGGAAGCGGAAGGAGAAGGCCATCCGTCTGCCTCCGAGCCCACCGAGGCTGCCTCTCATAGGGCACCTCCACCTGATGGTGAAGGAACCCCATCGCACACTGCAGAGGCTGGCACACAGGATGGGCCCAATCATCTACCTCCAGCTCGGTGGCGTTCCGGGCGTCGTGGTGTCGTCGCCGGAGGCGGCCAAGGAGGTGCTGAAGACCCTTGATGTGCAGTGCCGGTCCTAGGATTTTGAGGGCCCTCTGACGAACTCGTCACGACGGCCCCTCTCGATAAATGTTTCTTAGGTAATATTCTAAAATTCTAACACCTGACCTAAATTACAAAAAAAACATGACTATATGAGTACAAAGTACTAGACAAAAATTGAACAAGGAAAAAAAACCTAGGGCCTAGATAATTTGGACATGAACTTATTCAGAACCAAGATTCACAAATCACAAAAAGGGCAGAAGGCAATAATCAAGATCATATGTCGTCGTCTTCGTCGAGCCCTGCCTCAGCTGCCTGGTCGCCGTCGTCGTCTGGCTTCTGGAAGACTGGAACTCGGGCATCGGTGTCTCGGTGATCTGTGTTGGTGATCGCGTGGTGAACTGGTGATCGGCGCTGCGTCTCTCGCAGTCTCGCGTCTCGCCAGAAGTCCGGAAGTCGCGACTCAAGATCGCTATGTGCGCGTGTGTGGGTGTTGGCGGCTCAGCTCCTTGCCTCCTGGAAAGAAAAAGGCCGACGACTCCTTTTTACTAATGGGCATGCATCTTCTCATTAATTCTAATGGACTATAGCTAAAGGGTATGAAGTATTATATACTTCGGCTTGGGCCCCCATCCCGCGAGGGCCCTCGGCCGTCGCACCTCCTGGCCCACCCTTAGTGCCGGCACTGTTGATGTGCACTGCTGCAACCGGCCGTCGTCACCAGGCAATCTATCTATAATTCTATATACGTTTTCTCCACGTCTTTTACTACCGCATAAACAAGTTTCCAGACATGCATGATTCTGCTCGCGTACTTCTAATATTCAAGTTCAGAGTAAATAAGAAAAACAAACCATTATAAATGAAATTCTTTATAGTTACCTTCTGATATTTTTAGCTTTTTATTTATTTGAAATCACATTTTCAGGGGCAAAGATGCTAACCTACAATTATCGGGACATCGCGTTCTCACCGTACAGTGAAAGGTGGCGCGAGAGGCGCAAACTCTTCATTTCCGAGCTTGTAGGCAGGCAAGCGCGTGCAATCCTTCTCACACGCATTGGAAGAACAAGTGGAGCAACTTATCCAATCACTCTCATGCCTGCCGCCGTCGACGACAGAGGCCGTCAACCTCAACGAGAAGATCTTCGCACTCATCGACGGCTTCATCGGCACGGTGGCGTTCGGCAGGATGAGCGGCGCAAAGCTGCTCAAATACAACAAGTTTCAGCAGGTTTTCAGCGAGGCCCTGGTTGTCCTCTCCGCCTTCTCTGCTCAGGACTTCTTCCCGGCGTCACCGATTAGCCGGTGGGTTGATAGGATTGCTGGACTAGAGGCACGGCACCGGACAATATTCGGTAAGCTAGATGCATATTTTGAGACTGTTCTGAGCCAGCATCTGAATGTAGGAAAGGTTCAGTCTGACAAGGATAACCTTGTGGATGTGCTCATCGGTCTTTGGAAGGGTCAGGGGAGGGGCAAGCGATGATCAAAGACGACCTCAAGGTTATCATTATGGTAATTTTTGCTAAGTAAAGCAAGCTATATATATACTTAAGTTCTTCATTTACAGGCCATAT